GAAAATTCTGCTGCGTATGATGTCCGAAATTTTGTTGCCTACATTTTCTTCAAGAATTTTTATGGATTCACGGTTCACATTTAAGTCTTTTATCCATTTTGAGTTTATTTTTGTGCAGGGTGTAAGTCGATGGTCTAGTTTCATTTTTTTGCATGTCCAATTTTCCCAACACCATTTACTAAAGAGGCTGTCGTTACTCCACTGTATGTTGTTGTCACCTCTGTCAAACATCAATTAAGCATATTGCCTTGGGTCCATATCTGGGTTCTCTGTTCTATTCCACTGGTCTATATGTCTGTTCTTGTGCTAGTACCAGGCTGTTTTGATTACAGTCACTTTGTAGTATAACCTGATATCTGGTATTGTGATCCCACCTACTTTCTCCTTCTTTTTCAAAATTGCTGTGGCTATTCGGGGTCTTTTTTGGTTCCATATGAACTTTTGAAGTATTTGTTCTAGTTCTGTGAAATATGTTGTTGGTATTTTGATGGGGATTGCATTGAATCTATATAGATTGCTTTGGGTAATATGGACATTTTAATGATATTAATTCTTCCAATCCATGAATAAGATATGTGCTTCCACTTTTTTATATCTTCCTCTATTTCTTTTTTCAATGTCCTGTAGTTTTCTGCAAATAGGTCCTTTACTTCTTTGGTTAAGTTTATTCCTAGATATCTTAATTTTTTTGCCGCGATGATAAATGGGATTGTTTTTTCAGTTTCTCTTTCTGTGAGGTCATCATTGGTGTATAAAAATGCCATCAATTTCTTGATGTTAATTTTGTATCCTACAACTTTGCCAAATTCATTTATTAAGTCTAGTAGATTTTTGATGGAGTCTTTAGGATTTTCTATGTATAATATCATGTCATTTGCAAATAATGACAGTTTTATTTCCTCCTTTAAAATTTCAATCCCTTTTATTTTTTCCTCATGTCTGATTGCTGTGGCTAAGACTTCCAGTACAATGTTAAATAACAGTGGCAAAAGTGGACATCCCTGTCTTTTTCCTGTTCTTAAGAAAAATATTTTTAGTTTTTGCCCACTGAGTATGATGTTGGCTGTAGGTCTTTCACATATGGCCTTTATTATGTCGAGATATGATCCCTGTATTCCCACATTGCTGAGTGTTTTTATCAAGAAATGGATGCTGGATTTTGTCGAATGCTTTTTCAGCGTCTATTGATATGATCGTGTGGTTTCTATTCTTCATTTTGTGTATGTGGTGTATCACATTTATTGATTTGCGAATATTGTATCAGCCTTGTATCCCTGGGATGGATCCCACTTGGTCATGGTAAATAATTTTTTTGATGTATTGCTGGATCTGATTTGCTAATATTTTGTTCAGCATTTTGGCGTCTATGTTCATCAGGGATATTGGCCTGTAGTTTTCTTTCTTCGTAGTGTCTTTTTCTGGTTTTGGAATTAGAATTATGCTGGCCACATAAAACGAGTTTGTAAGTCTTTCTCCTTCGTGAGTTTTTTGAAATAATTTAAGGAGAATGGGTGTTAGTTCTTTTTTGAATGTTCGGTAAAACTCCCCCCATGAAGCCATCTGGGCCTGGGCTTTTGTTTGCTGGGAGAGCCTTGATTACATCTTCAATTTCCTTAGTTGTTTTTGGTCTGTTCAAGTTTTCTGTATCTTCCTGGTCCAGTTTTGGGAGACTGTGTGTTTTTAGAAATTAGTCCATTTCGCTCAGATTGTCGAATTTGTTGCCATGTAATTGTTCACAGTAGCTGTTAACGTAGTAGCTGTTTAGTATTTCTGTAGTGTCTTGTCAGTTGTTACTTCTCCTGTTTCATTTCTGATTTTGTGCATTTGGGTTCTCTTTTTTTGTTTCTTTGTTGAGTCTGGCTAAGGGTCCATCAATCTTGTTTATTTTTTCGAAAAACCAAGTCTTTGCTTCATTGATCCTTTGAATTGTTGTTTTGGTCTCTATGTCATTTATGTCTGCTCTGATCTTTACTATTTCCTTCCTTGTACTTGCTCTGGGGTTTTCTTTTTGTTTGCTTTCTAATTGTTCAAGTTGTGAGGTTAGACAGTCAATTAGAACTTTTTCTTATTTCTTGAGGTAGGCCTGTAGTACTTCCCTTTCAGAACTGCTTTTGCTGCATCCCACAGATTTTGTGTTGTTGTGTGTTCATTTTCATTGGTTTCCAGGAAGTTTTTAATTTTTCCTTGATCTCCTTGGTATCCCGTTCATTGTTTAAAAACATGCTATCTAGCTTCCATGTGTTCAAATGTCTTTGCATGTTTTTGTTGCAATTGATTTCTAGTTTCATGCCACTGTGATCTGAGAAGATGCTTGATATGATTTCAGTCTTCTTGATCTTGTAGAGATTTAGTTTGTGTCCTATATGTGGTCTATCTTTGAGAATGTCCCATGTGCAGTTGAGAAGAATGTGAATTTCATGGTTTTGGGGTGTAATTCTCTATACATACCTATTAAATCCATTTGGTCTAGTGCTTCATTTAGAGTCTCTGTTTCCTTGCTAATTTTTTGTCTAGAGGATCTACCCAGTGGTGTCAATGGGGTGTTGAAGTCCCCTGCTATGATTGTATTGCTGTTGATTTCTCCTTTGAAGTCCTCCAAAAGGTTTTTAATATATTTTGGTGCTCCTATATTGGGTGCATATATGTTTATCAAGGTTATATCTTCCTGTCGGATAGATCCTTTCAATATTATGTATGGCCTTCTATGTCTCTAGTTATGGTCTTCATTTTGAAATCTGTTTTATCAGGTATGAGTATTGCTACCCCAGTTTTTTTTTTGCTTTCCATTTGCTTGGAAAAATTTTTTCCATCCCTTCACTTTCAACCTATGTGAGTCTTTTGTTGTGAGGTGGGTCTCTTGTAAGCAACATATAGATGAGTCATACTTTCTTTTTTTTTAAATCCTCACCCAAGGGCATTTTTCCATTTTTTGTTCAGATAGAGCGGGAGGGAGAGAGAGGGAGAGAAAGGGAGAGAGAGAGAGAGAGAGAAAAACATCGATGTGAAGGGACACATTGAGTGGCTGCCACCCACACGACCAACCAAGGCTGGGGACAACCTGCAACCGAGGTATGTGCCCTTAGTGGGAACCGAACCCGGGTCTCTCTGTACCGCAGGCCAACGCTCCAATGACTGAGCCAAACCGGCCGGGGGAGTCATGCTTTCTTAAACAATCAGCTACTCTGTCTTTTTCTCGGAGCATTCAGTCCATTTACATTTAAGGTGATTATTGATATGTACTTATTTAGTGCCATTTTTGTCTAGTTTGGTTATATTTTTCTTCCTATTTCTTCTACTAATTACAGCAGTCCTTTTAACATTTCCTGTAGTGCTGGTTTGGTGCTAGTGTATTCCCTTAGCCCTTTTTTGTCTGGGAAGCTTTTTATTTGACCTTCTACTTTGAATGACAGCCTTGCTGGGTAGAGTAGTCTTGGATTCAGATCCTTTTTTTTCATGGCCTTGATTACTTCATGCCATTCCCTTCTGGTATGTAGTGTTTCTTGTGAGAAGTCTGCTGAGATCCTTATGGGGTTTCCTTTGTAGGTAACCTGTTGCTTATCTCTTGCTGCTTTTAGGATTCTCTCTTTGTCTTTAATTTTTGGCATTTTAAAGCCCACACCAAGACACATAGTAATAGGGTTTGTTTTAAATTATTCCAAAGATTCGTGTGCAGAGTATAAACTCAGAATATACATATGAGTATACTGGGAATGAGATTCTCCAACAAGGAGACAAAGCCCCAAACCTATACTTCACACATAAGCATTGCCACTTTCTTTGGTTAGTGGTCTTTCCAAAGTCCTAGACAGGTGTGTGTTTGTGCATGTTTCCAAGGATATTTTCAGTTCTAGCTCCCCCACCTTGTCCAGTCACAACTCCTAACTCTGCTAATTGATAAAATTCAAGTCCCTGTTATAAAACTGCAAATCACCATGGCAGGAGCCATGGTTTATCACTACTTTCAGTTCCCTCTTCTTTCCTGTAATCTGGAAATTTTCTTAAGCTTGGTGTCTTTAAACATTAGTTATATTTTTAACATCTCTAGGTATATGTGGGGGGGAGGTGAGGAAGGGAAATTCAGAATAAATATGTCCTGAATGTGTGAGTCAAGAAAGTGTTAAGTCCTTACCCTCTGGGAGCATGTCACAGTTCAAGATCAACAGGTAAATACTTCTACCTGTAACCTGTATCATTCAAACATTTCAGTGAATCTGGTGCTTGCTAGGATTACAGTGGGATAGAATTATATATGTCTCTAGAAATTTTGTCATTTAAATATGGAAAGGAACAACTGCCATGGAGGTAGGAATTTCAAGACGTCATCTGGGCTAAAAGTAGGAGACTTCAGGAAAGGTGTATATGTGACAAAGGGGCCTCGCTGGAAGTCCAGTCTTGTGGTTTGGAAGAATAGGCAGGAATGAAGAATATTTTGTAGTCAGAATGTGAAGGCTTTCAAAAAGCCATATAAGGAATCTGTACTTTATCCTAACTGTAGAAATGGAAGCCCCTGAAAAATTAAGCTGATCCATGAAAAAAAGCAAAAACAAAACAGACTAGCTTAACAGAAACACAACTTTGGCGGCTGCAGATAGGACAGATTAAAATAACCCAGAAAAACGGAAAATACTTAAAGACTGGTGTAAGAATCTAGGAGAGAGACAAAGACTTTCGTGGCCTAAAGCACTAAGCAAGGATATTAAGAAAGGGAAAAGTTAAGACCTTTTAGAGACACAAGAAGGGACCTGTGCTAAAATTAGCAAATAAAACAAAACAAACAAAAAAACCCAGAAAGTCCAGTTAAAATTTTAGTATGTCTCATTCTATATTTGGAACATATATGATGTCTTGTATTATCTGGTAATTCTACCTGTAGTGAACAATCCATGAACATAACAGTGGAATTTAAAGAACAGGAGGAAAAAATGCCTAGACATGAAAAAAAACGTTAAGACTCAATGAACTAACAAGGCTTGGCTAGCCAAGTTGAGACATGTGCTTACCTGCATGGTAACTAGTCTGTCATCCACCATCACCTCCTTTGTCAGGAAGTCTGCTCCTATTGTGGCTTTGTACTGATTACTGAATTTCTTGTTCACATATTGGTTCATGAGTGATGTCTTACCAACTCTGAAATTGGAGAAAAACCACAAGTATAAATCAACTAGAAGGGAGTGAAACTGATTCTGATATTTGTAGCTTTGAAGAAACCTGCCTGTTGTGAAGAAGAATGAGGAACTGAGCTCACAACAGAGGGCAGACAGCAAAATTCCCAGCATTACTCATTTGAAGTTATACTTTCTCCTGGGATAAAAACACAGGGTACAGATGTGGGCCACATGTTAAAAGATGTGGGAAACACACACACACACACACACACACACACATTTTTTTTTTTTACTGATTTGAGTGACAAACAGGAAGAGAAAGAAAGAGAAAAATGGACGTGAAAGAGAAACATCGATTGGCTGCCTCCTGCACACACCCTGACCGGGGATCAAACCTGCAACCTATGTATGTGCCCTGACTAGGAATTGAACCCACAACCTTTTGGTGTACAGGATGATGCTCAAACCAATTGAACTACAATGGCCAGGGTACTGCTTGTAAATTTTGGTACAGACAATTCAGTAGGTAGAACTTTTTTTTTCCTTCCAGAAGGATGCCAGCAAATACTCTACAAAAATATCTCTGCTGCATTGGGTGCATCTCCATTTAATGATTGCTATTCAGTCCAAGACAGAAATAGTAAGAGAAAACCACTGGCTTTCAGAGATACATACATCAGCCAACCTGCTGCTTTAAAGTTTCAAATCAGAAACAGAAAAAGCACCAATATTCCACCATATCAGAATCTACCTCAAAGTGTTCTACTCCAGAGATGTTTCTCAGCAAGAAAATTAAGCAAGAGACAATGTGTGATTTTTCTTGTGATGAGGATAGTTAGGGCTGGCTAAATATAATACAAAAGCTTTCCTCAAAAGAGCACATTCATTTTCATGTACAGATGAAATGAAAATACAGATACAGCCTAAGGCAGTGGTCTCCAATCCAGGCCACTTGAACCAGAATTTCCAGGGAAACATCTGGAACAAAAGCCTGGTATTTCTTTTCAGGCAAGTCTGAGTAACACAGGCCTAAAAGCAGTAGCTTTAAATTCTGACAACACACTAGAATCACCAAGACAGTGGATGTATGTGCGTGAATGGGAGAGAAGGGGATGATGCTCTAACCAACTGGGCAATCTGGCTGGGGCCAAATACTAACTTTTAAAAGGCTATTCAGGACCCAGCCGGTGTGGCTCAGTAGGAAGGATCAACCCATGCACCAAGAGGTTGCTGGTTTGATTCCCGGTCAGAGCCAGGTTGTGGGCCAAATCCCCAGTCAGGGGGCATGCTGGAGGCAGCCAATCGATGTTCTCTCTCATTGATGTTTCTATCTCTCTCTTCCTCTCTGTTCCTCTCTCTCTAAAAATCAATAAAGAAAAAAAATTTTAAAGGATACTCTGGTGATTAAAAAAACCCAGCCAGCCCTGGCCAGTTTGGCTCAGCGGTTAGAGTGTCGGCCTGCGGTCCGGAGAGACCCGGGTTCGGTTCCCGCTAAGGGCACGTACCTCGGTTGCAGTTTGTCCCCGGCCCTGGTTGGTCGTGCGGGTGGCAGCCACTCGATGTGTCCCTTCACGTCGATGTTTCTCTCTCCCTCTCCCTTCCTCTCTCTCCCTCCCACTCTATCTGTACAAAAAATGGAAAAATATCCTCGGGTGAGGATTAAAAAAAAAACAAACAAACCCAGCCAGCGTAGAAAAATCCCTGCCTTTTGTAGATGAAAAGGGGCCACATGCTAACCTGACAAGCTCAGGGAAGGCCTGTGTGGTACCCTTGCAAACTCAAAGACCCAAAGTAACCACAAAAGATGGTCTGAAATTAAAATTTTTTTATTAATCTTCAGTGGAGGATTATTCCATTGATTTTTAGAGAGAGTTGAAAGAGGAAAGGGATGGGGGAGAGGGAAAGAAAGGAGAGAAATACTGATTTGAGAGAGGCACATTGGTTGCTTCCCGCACGTACCCCTACCTGGGCTGGGGATCAAACCCGCAACCCAGGTATGTGCCCTTGACTGGGAATCAAACTTGGCACACTGCCCTGCGGTTTGGCTCAGCGATCAGAGCATCAGCCTGTGGTCCAGAGAGACCCGGGTTCGGTTCCCGCTAAGGGCATGTACCTTGGTTGCAGTTTGTCCCGGCCCTGGTTGGGTCATGCAGGTGGCAACCACTCAATGTGTCCCTTTCACATCGATGTTTCTCTCTCTCTCTCCCTCCCACTCTATCTGAACAAAAAACAAAAAAATGTCCTCGGGTGAGGATGAAAAAAAAAAAAAGAAAACCTGAGACCCTTTGGTGGGCGGGCTGATGCTGTAACCACTGAGCAATGCTGGTTAGGGCTGTAATGAAAACTTTTTAATTAAAAGCAGTTTATGGCAGTCCTAGGCCAGCATCTTCTCTGATAAAGGTCAATCTTTACCTTAACTGATCCTGTCATCTTTTTGCATCTATGATAATATATCACATTGGCCAGGCAACATATCTTTGAAATTTCAAAGCAATTTTCCTTTTTCTGGACCCCTCAAAGCAAAACTGCTCTCTGGCAACCAAAAATTCCCTCATTGTTATTGAATTAATTGTTGAATTATTGACTGTTAACTATCCTATACCCACCTATGTAAAAGATTATGTCTATCATTTAAATTTTTATCCAATCCCAAAAGTTTCCCCGCTTTGCTTTCTCCCACCTCTCTAATCTATCATCAACAGATTTCATGTAATCTATTTATATCTCCTCTTTTTATTGTAATATATAAAATAAGATGCCTGCATGGCAGACGCCTGGCCCTCTGGGCAGGATGTTCCCAAAACTGTGGCTGTCTAGGTCCTGGGTGTACTGTGGTTCATGTTAGTCACCACGGGACGCTTAAATTCGAGGATCTCAAAGTAGGACAATATATTTGTAAAGATCCAAAAATAAATGTTACACAAGAAACAGTTAATTGTACAAACTACACAGCTCATGCTTTATATTTTGTCACACTGTTAGTCCAATTCTAGTCAGCAGAGATATTTGAAATTCCATGTTTTCCAGCACCCAACATAATTTGTAAGGATTTCAGTGGCAATGAAACACATTTTACTGGGAAAAAAGTTGGTTTTATGAAGCCCAAATCTTGCTGAAATGTAAATGGCTATTCATATAAAGTGGCTGTTACCTTGGATTCCCTGCCTTGGGTTTGTTAAAGTTTTGCAAAATTGGTAGCCTAACTGACGTCATTCTTATTTCAATGCAGATTGTTGGACCTTCATGTGGAGGCAGTTACATTATAGATTATTATGGAACTAGACTTACAACAGTGAGTATTACTAAAAAGAAACAAATTCGGCCATGATTTTAATAGTGAACTCTCAATATGTCGATTTCCAGATTTTCCTTTTCCTTTCTTCACATATCATTTTATGAATTCTATATAATTTTCTGTTGTTGATGTTTTTATTTTGTTTTACTTGAAAGCATTTTATTCTGAGATTTATTTAATAGGACTTCCTTTGAGAGCTGCATAATAATAGTCTCTATGGGATAGATATATATTATTATATTCTGCAATGTGTTTTCTAAAGGCAAGTTGACACTTGTCATTTTTGCTTCTGAAAAATACAAGTATGGCTTACTCACTAAATAAATAAATAAATAAATAAATAATAATAATAAAAAAAAAAATCAGATGCAAAACTACCATTCTCTGGAGCATTATCTCAATCCGCTGAAGTTTTGCTTCCTAGCAATTGTTGACAGTTTTGGCTAAAATAAACTCACAACAATTCTTCACAGGTTTGAATTCTTCTTACATTGACACTTTTTAAGGGAAGGGCAGAGATCTTTGAAATAAGGAAGCACATCTGCATTTATGATTATTAATTTATTTTTAGCCTTCAGTAGGTCTAAGCTTTCATAGGTCACTTCAGAAGGCCAAGTCTAAAAAACCTCCTACCGAATCTCAGCAGCTACTACAAAGTTACTGGCAGATCTTGGATCAGAACTCAGTATCCTAGTCCCAGGCTCTTTCAAATATAGGCCTGAAACAGGCACAGCAGTACATACCTCAAACCCACATCTGTAGGCACAATGCCAATAGCAACAAATCTACTTAAACAGTAGTCTCTAGTCTAACCAGCTAGGAAGAAAGGGATTCCATGAATCTATTACTAGCTGAGTTCAAATAGCCACCCTTTACATAACAAGAAATAATTAAAATTTCTACTGTGACCCCAAACTATAGGGAGGCCTAGAGCCCTAATGCCCCCTCAATTAGAGAAGGAAGTGGCAAATGTTCATGAAGGACATGGGTTTCAAGGACATAGTTTAAATCCAAGACAATCTGTTAGCTCAAATTTCTGAGAAACACTTACCCAGAATCTCCCAGGATGATAACCTTCAGCAACACTTTCTTCCTAGAGGTCATCCTTCAAACTAAAAAAAGAAGAAAGCACTGTAAGTAGGATGAAAACACTAAGGTGAACCACTTTCCTTGGCATAAACATCTAAGCGCTCCAAGAGAACTGTGCCGTGAACCTTCCTGCTGGTGATTTTCCCTTCTATCTCAGAGCCATTATACACAGCAGTACCAGTCATTAGAACTCTAGACCCCCAAATAAGGCAAAAGAGCCTGGCAGGGCAATCCTGCTCCTGGGAGTAGTCTGAGAGAATGGACTGTCCCACTTGGATGTGGGATCAATTTGGATTAATGCATGTTTTCATCTCATGACACACATAAACTAATTACTAAAATTCTGCGGCATGCCAAAAAATATATTTTGTGTCAATCTGACAAAAAATAGGTGTAATTTTGATTCATTCATACTGGATGGTTATGTTATGTTCACAGTTGTCATATTTTTATTTGATAATCTAAGGGAAAAGAGGTCAGTGCCCCTGACTAAATAGTCAGGTATTACATATTTTAGAAATTCTTGCAGTACACCAGTTAAAAATTGCTAAATTAATGCTCCAGTTTACTCAGCTACATCCTACTTCCTTCAGGTCTTCGCTCAAATATCGCTTCCTCAGAGAGGTGATCACTATATCTAACGTAGCACACCCCTTCCTATTATTTGCTCTCTATTCCTATTTTCTGCCTTATTTTTCTTGAGCATTTATCACTACTTGATATTTTTTTGTATCATTTTGTCTGTCTTCTCCTTCTTCTAATAATCTTCATGAAGACAGTTTTAGTCTCCACTGTATCTCCTGTGCCAAGTAGAGAATTATTATCAAATAGGAGTGCATGAATAATACTTGACTTTGAAGCTCTTGGAACCAGCTTCTTCCAGAAAACCTTTCAGGCAGCCCTCCCATACCATCTTCACCAGACAGGTAATCTTTGTTTAATGCTTGTCCACAACTGGCCACACCATCGTCTGTTTTATTTATCAAGACATGGCTCCTATCTTAATTACCTCTTAGTCTCAGAGTCTGACTCGGTGACTTTCAGAAAATGATGGGCTCTCAGAAAAGTAGGAGTCCTAAATTCTGGACCCCAACATGATCGACATATCTGAAGACTGTTAGAGGAGAACTCCTCCTCAGATAATTGGAATCCCCAATGTGAGTCTTGTGTTCTCCTGTAGAATCTGGAATTCAACATTGAATGTGAGTGCCCTCAAAAATGGCATCTTACTCCTTCTGAGAACCCCTAATTTTGGTCCATTATCCTTAGTAGACACTGAAATAGCTAGGAGACTATGAGTAACAAAGTAACATTCAACTCTTGCCTTCAACAGAACTGGGGAAAATAAGTGTTTCTACACAAACAAATAGGTAAGGAAGTAGATCCAAAACAGCCAAGAATGGGTCTCAGAAAAGCTATGTTTTAGTTTTATTTTTAACCACTTAGCTTCCTGAAGGATGAGGCTGATAGTTCTCCTACCGTGGGAATGACTTAATCATGAAATTCAGATCCTAGAGTACCTAAATTTTTACTCTGGCTTTGCTACCTATTATTAGCTGTGTGACTTTAGGCAAGTCATGTAACCTCTCTGTTGGGATAGGATATAGAAATAATGGTTCTTATGTCCTGAGGATGATGTGAGGCCTGAATGAGTAAAATGCTCAGGACAGTGACTAAAATATAATAGTAAATGTTGACTGCTATCATTTTAATGTGTGCCAAATACAGAGATGAATAAATAACCTAAGAGTGCAGTGAGTCATAATCCTTTTGCTGCTGAAAGGTATTGATGGCTGATGACTGATTGGGGTAGCAGTTGCTAAAGGCTGGGGTGGCTGTGGCAATTTCTTAAAACAGGACAATGAAATTTGCTGCAACAATTTACTCTTCCCTTTCACAAAAATTTCTCCATAGCATGCGATGGTGTTTGATAGTATTTTACCCACAGTAGAACATCTTTCAAAATTAGTCATTCCTCTCAAACCCTGTCACTAATATATCAACTAAGTTTATGTAATATTCTAAATTCTTTGTCATTTCAACACTCTACACATATCTTCTACAGGAGTACATTCCACCTCAAGAAACCAATTTCTTTGCTGAGCCATAAGAAGCAACTCCTCATCCATTCAAGTTTTATGAGATTGCGGAATTTAGTCACGTCTTCAGGCTCCACTTGTAATTCTAGTTATCTTGTTGTTTCCACCACATTTACAGTTACTTCCTCCATTGGAGTCTTGAACCCCTCAAAGTCATCCATGAGAGTTGGGATCAACTTCTTCCAAACTGCTCTTAATGTTGATATTTTGACCTCTTCCCACAAATCATGAATTTCTTAATGGAATCTAAAATGGTGACCCCTTTCCAGAAGATTTTCAGTTTACTTTGCCCAGATTCATTAGAGAAAATCACTATCTATGGCAGCTATGGCCTTACAAAATGCATTTCTTAAAGAATAAGACTTAGCCCAGCTGGTGTGGCTCAGTGGATTGAGCATTGCTCCATGGACTGAGCGGTCTCAGTTCGATTCCTGGTCATGGTACATGCCCAGGTTGTGGGCCAGATCCCAAGTGGGGGGCATGTAGGAGGCAGCCAACTGATGTTCTCTCTCATTGATGTTTCTGCCTCTCCCTCTCTCTTCTTCTCTAAAATCAATAAAGAAAAAAAATTTTTTCTTTTAATTATAAAAAAAGAATAAGATTTAAAAGTTAAAATTACTCCTTGATCCATGTGCTGCAGAATGGATACTGTATTAGCAGACATGAAAACAAAATTAATCTCGTACATCTCCTGGGTGACTAGCCACATTGTCAATGAGCGGTAAGATTAAGAAAGGAATCTTTTATTCTGAGCAGTAGGTCTCAGCAGTGGGCTTAAAATACTCAGTAAACCATGTTGTAAGCAGATGTGCTGTCATCCAGGTTTTTTTGTTCCATTTATAGAAGATAGGTGGAGTAAATTTAGCATAATTCTTAAGGGCCCTAGGATTTTTACAATGGTAAATGAGCATTGACTTCAACTTCATGACATCAACTGCATTAACCCCTAACAACAGAGTCAGACTGTCCTTTGAAGCCAGGAATTGACTTCTACTCTTGCTATGAAAGTCCTAGATGGTATCTTCTTCCAATATAAGGCCATTTCATCTGCAGTAAAAATCTGTTTAGTGTAGCCACCTTCATTATCTAAGCTAGATTTTCTGGATAACCTGCTTCAGCTTCTACATCAGGACTTGCTGCTTCACCTTGCACTTTTATATTATGGAAATGGCTTCTTTCCTTAAACCTCACTGACCAACCTCTGCTAGCTTCAAACTCTTCTTCTGCAGCTTCCTCACCTCGCTGTCTTCACAAAATTGTTCTAAATTAGGCTATGTCTTAAGGGAAGGTTCAGCTGGTTTGATCTAGTAAGCCCACTAAAACTTTCGCCACATTAGCAACAAGTCTGTTTTGTCTTCGTATCATTCATGTGTTCACTGGAGTACCACTTTTAATCTTCAAAAACTTTTCCTTTGCATTCACAACTTGGCTAATTGGCACAAGAGGCCAAGCAGCTTTCCATCTATCTCAGCTTGCGGACATGCCTTTCTCACTGAGCTTACTCATTTCTAGGTTTTGATTAAAAGTGAGAGACATGTGACACTTGCTTTCACTTGAACACTAAGAGGCCACTGTAGGGTTATTAACTGGCCAAATCTGTTCTATTTTAGGGAATAGAGAGGCCCAAGGACAGGGAAAGGTGGGATAATGGCTGGTTGCTGGAACAGTAAGAACACACACAATTATTTATATTTTACATTCACGGTCTTATATGGGCATGTTTTGTGGTGCCCAACCCCAAACAACACCACAAACAATCACAACATTAACATCAAAGATCACAGATCACCATAACAAATATAATAATGAAAATTTTTGAAATACTGGGAGAATTACCAGAATGTAACAGAGACATGAAGTGAGCAAATGAAGCCAATAGACTTGCTCAAAGCACAGTTACCACAAACCTTAAACTTGTAAACAACCAAACCAAAACAAAAAGAAAAAAACCCCACAACATCTGCAAAGCACAATAAATCGAGGTATGAGTTTATATTCCAACCTACCTGTTATCCGGGGAGTCTCACACCCCCATCTTCCTCCCTAGGGACTGCCTTAACCAAGCTTTAAGAGTTTCAACCCAAGGTCTGATACCAAATTTTAGACCAGAGATCAGAATGTCATACTTGGGACAAATTTCAAATCCAAAGAAAGGCAAATTAAGGCAAGGGATAAATAGAAGATGAAAAGCTTTGCAAAGAAATTCTTGAGGAATATTTAAGAAAGTCACTAATTTTGAGATGGGAAAAGGGATTTCCATAATTTGGTTTAGGAAGTTTCACTGGTATAGGAATATTATTTAGTATTAGAAACAAAGCAAACAAGAAATACACAAGCTCCCTAATCCTGCATGACAGATTTCATGTTTGTTTCCTTCCACCTTTTTACTCACACACAGGTTGCAAGTTTGTCTGTGTGGCCATCTTGTCAAGCTGACCCTCCTGGGCAACAGAGGAGCTTCTTTCCTGACCTGCAAATCCCAGTCATAGCAATCCCTGAAACGACCTGAGGATGTAGTGTGAAAATTGCATAAGACCCCACTGTAACAGTTGCAAAATCTCAGCACACATGTTCCTCCCACATTTTCACTTAGGGCTTGCTAAACATTTGGAGGTTGTTGCAAATGGTACTCAATACCAGATCTGAAGAAATCACACATCTGGTTTCACCAGGACACTGATGGCTTTAAACTGGTTAAGAGCTATGTTTTTGTACTTAATGTTCTCCAGGATCAAGAATGAGACCCTTGTGTCTAGAAAAAAGCTAAGAACAAAACAAAACTCGAACACAACTTTTGTCACAAGAAGCTGCTCAAGCAGCAGTGCCATTAAAATCTCCACTGGCAGTTTTTGCTTCCTGTAACCCATTTCTATCACCATTTTCATGGATTTCTGAATACTGAAATTACCTTTTTTAAAACCTAT